TCTGGCTCAAGCATATCAACAGCTGCCTGTTGATGATGCAGCAGCTGAGGCCCAAACTATTGTCACCCATCGTGGGGCTTTCAAGGTGAAGAGGTTACAGTTTGGGGTGAATGTCGCTCCTGGCATTTTTCAGAGTGTAATGGAAAACACCCTGAGGGGTATTCCTGGCGTGTGTCCTTATTTTGATGACGTTCTCATCACAGGAGACTCTCCACAAATGCTGGCTGAGAGGTTAAGGGCTGTTTTGCTTTGTTTCCGAAGAGCAGGTCTTAAATTAAAACAGGACAAATGTAAGATTGGTGTGCACTCCACTGATTTCCTGGGATTCAGGATAGATGCTCAGGGTATCCACCCGTCCGATGCTAAGCTCAAAGCTATTCAGAAGGCTCCAAGCCCCAAGTCTAAGGGCGAATTGCAAGCCTTTTTGGGTTTATTGAACTTTTATCATGCTTTTCTACCTCATAAAGCTGCTATTGCTGAACCTCTGCACAGACTTCTTGACAAAAATGCTTGTTGGCGCTGGACCAAAGTCCATGAGGCCAGTTTCAATGAGGTTAAAGCCTTGCTTACATCCAATGCGGTTTTGGCTCATTGAAATGAGCAGTTGCCAGTGTGTCTGGCTTGTGATGCCTCCCCCTACAGTGTGGGTGCTGTACTTAGCCATTTGACGGCTGATGGGACTCAGGTCCCTGTGGCTTATTATTCTAGGACTTTATCTGCTGCTGAGCGCAACTATGCTCAAATTGATAGGGAGGCTTTGGGTCTTGTGGCTGGAATTAAAAAGTTCCATGACTTTATCTATGGCCGCCACTTTACGGTCTTTACTGACCACAAGCCATTGCTGGGGTTATTCACTACATCCAAACAAACACCTCACATCCTGTCCCCTCGTATGCTGCGTTGGTCCATCTTCCTGTCAGCTTATGACTATTCACTGGTCCACAAGCCTGGCAAGGAAATGGGTCATGCAGATGCATTGAGTAGGCTGCCATTGCCTACTGTGGAGCCCGATCCCGCTCCTGCTGTACACATATTGTCCATTCAGGAGTTGCCTGAGTGTCCCCTCAATGCTAGGGATGTGGCTGCTGAAACTGCCACTGACCACACGCTCAAACGCGTGCTGTCATGGGTCCTGTCAGGTTGGCCTGACAGGTGCCCTATGGAGGATTTTCAACGTTTTTGGGTCAAGAGGCACGAGTTGTCCACTTTCAATGGCTGCCTTTTCTGGGGATCGAGAGTTGTGATCCCGGCCTCCTTGAGGGCTAGAATCTTGATTTCATTACATGAGGGCCACCCTGGAATCGTCAGGATGAAGGCGCTTGTGCGCAGCCATCTGTGGTGGCCTGGCATTGATCGGGCCATCGAGGCCCAGGTACATGGGTGTCATGCATGCCAGCAGTCCAGGCCTGAAATGCCCCAGGCCCCTGTGCACAGGTGGGAGGAAACACACACTCCATGGTCTAGAATACATATAGATTACACTGGGCCCTTTCAGGGACAATTTTTCCTGGTTGTTGTTGATAGCCATTCCAAGTGGCTGGAGGTCGTGCCTGTGTCTTCTACCACAGCTGCCAAGACTATTCAAGTGTTGAGAAACATTTTTGCTGCACACGGGCTGCCAGATGTTCTGGTGTCAGATAACGGTCCTCAATTTACTTCTACTGAGTTTCAGGGGTTTCTACAGGCCAACATGATCCGCCACG